GGAGCCCAGCAGGTTAAGGCTGCGGTGGCCGGGAGCAGCCACTGCACTCCAGTCTGGGCGACAGAGTGAGACTTCAACTCAAAAAAAAAAGAAGTCTATTTTCAAATTTCACCAGTCATCCACATCATTCAGTTTCCAGTTTTTTCTCCTAATCCAGAATCCAATCTAAGATCACACATTTAGTTATGTCCCTCAACTTAGGCTTGTCTGTTATTTCTTCAGGATTATATTCTGGTTGTGCGTTTTTGGCAAGAATATTTTTTATAAGTGATGTTGTATCCTTTTTATTGCATAGTATCAGGAGACACATGTCAGTTGGTCCCACTGCTGATGGTGTTAACTTTGATCATTTGATTAAAGTGATGTCTGCCAGGTTCCTCTAGATACATTTTTCCCTTAAGTTTTCACTAGCTGCAGCAGGTAGGAGGGAATGGAGGTGGCCAGAATGGGAACCTTGAGAGATGACGATGGTCCTGTTTAGGGAAATGCATTGATTTTCCCCAGACATGTGGCATATTTGGGCCAGAACTGAAACTAGAACATAAATATTCTGATACCCAGACTCATGTTCTTCAATCACCCCAATTTAAGACCCCAGCACAATTAAATAAGGGATAAGAGGAGAAAAAGAAAAAAAAGTGATAAAATGATCTTTTGAGAAGTGTCTATTCATGACAAAAAAATGATAAGGGATTAGTGTCTCAGAAAATACAGGGTAAGGCTAGTTACTGCCTAGTACACCCCTACATGAGATCAGGGACTGTCCCAAATACACCACTGCATAATCTTCCCTGACTCCCTCAGACAGTTATTTACTTCCACAATGCTTCATATATCCTACATGTTCCATCTTTAAGCATCTGTTTTCCCTACAAAACCATGTGTGAATCATTAAGAACAGGGTCTGCAACACTTTGGGAGGCCGAAGCAAGTGGATTGCCTGAGCCCGCGAGTTTGAAACCAGCCCTGGCAACTTGGCGAGACCTCATCTCTACAATAAATCAAAAAAATTAGCCGGGCATGGTAGCACACGCACCTGTAGTTCTGGCTACTTGGAAGGCTGAGGCGGAAGAATTGCCGGAGCCCAGCTGGTCAACGCTGGGGTGGCTGTTAGTGTGCCACTGCACTCCAGTCTGGGTGACAGAGTAAGATTCCAACTCCAGAAAAAAAAAAAAGACTCAGTGTGTAGTTCATTTGTCTTTGGTTATACAGTGCCCAACACAGAGCCACACTCAGTGTTTATGGAGTAAATGAAGTCTTAGCTCCCAGCAACCAAATCCAAAGGGGAAAGAAGACGTGTTTTGTGGCTCAGCTTCTTTGTCTAAAGAATCAAAACAGTGCTTAGTGTTAAATGTCACTAATAGGGCAAATCTGAGTCAGACTGAAATATTGACAGGGGGACCTGTTAAATTCCCATGTCTGATTTGAAGGACAAGTGGAAGAAAAAGGTGGTGATTATGTTTCATTGCAAGTCTTCTGGAAAGGCATTTGTTGAGCAGCCTGAGACTCTCAACAAGAAGAACTTACCAATACCAGAAAGAAACTGGGGGAGACCATTTCTCAGAACGTGAGGTCCAGGAGATTGTTTTTTTGTGTGTGATAAAACAGACATAAAAGTTACCATTTTAGCCTTTTTTAAAAAACCATATTAAAGCACACATTCTGGCCAGGCACAGTGGCTCACATCTATAATCCCAGCACTTTGGGAGGCTGAGGTGAGAGGATTGCCTGAGTCCACTGGTTCGAGACCAGGCTGGGCAACTTGGCAAGACCTCATCTCTACAGTAAATCAAGAAAAATTAGCCGGGCATGATGGTGCATGCTTGTAGTTCCAGCTACTCGGAAGGCTGAGATGGAAGGATCACCTGAGCCCAACAGGTCGAGGCTGTGATGGCCATGAGCATGCCACTGTACTCCAGCCTGGGTGACAAAGTGAGACTTCAACAATTTTTTTTAAAAAGCACACATTCCTGTGGCATTAAGTACATTCACATTGTTGTACAATTATCACCACCACCCCTGCCCAGAACTTTTTCATCTTCCCCAGATGAAACTCCCTATCCATTCAACACTAACTCCCGATTCCCGTCCCCAGTCCCAAGCAACCACCATTCTGCTTTCTGTCTCTGAATTGACTACTCCAGAGCTTTCATATCAGTGGAATCTTAGAATATTTGTCCTTTTGTGTAGGAATTTCATTCCTTTTTCAGTCTGAATAATATTCCATTGTATGTATATACCACATTTTGTTTAGTTGTTCATCCAGTGGTAGACATTTAGGTTGTTTCCACCTTTTGGCTAATGTGAATGCTGCTGCTGTGAGCATTGGTATATAAAAGTCTGTCTGACTCCCTTTTAATTTTGGGTATATACCCAGAAGTGAAATTGCTGGGTCATGTGGTAATTCTGTTTATTTTATTTATTTTTGAGTTGGGATCTCACTCTGTGACTCATACTGGAGTGCAGTAGCACGCTCCCGACCACCACAGCCTCAACTTGCTGAGCTCCGGCGATCCTTCCGCCTCAGCCTTCCAAGTAGCTGGAACTACAGGCATGCACTACCACACCCGGCTAATTTTTTTTAATTTTATCATAGAGATGAGTTCTCACCAAGTTGCTCAGGCGGGTCTCAAACCCACGGGCTCAGGCAATCCACTCACCTCAGGCTCCCAAAGTGAGCCCAGTTCTGTTTAATTTTTAAAGTAACTGCCATACTATCTTCCACAGCAGCTGTACCATTTTACATTCCCACCAGCAATGCACAAGCATTCCAGTTTCTCCGCATCCTTGCCAATACTTGTTATTCTCTGGGGTTTTGTTGTTGTTGTTTTTATACAGGTTAAGTATCTCTAACTAAAAAATCCAAAAAGCTCTAAAATCTGCAATTTTTTTGAGCATCAACACGATGCACAAAGAAAATACTCACTGGAGCATTTCAGATTTAAGGACGAGGAATGCTCAACAGGTAAGTATAACGTACATAACCCCAAATTCAAAATCTGAAACATTTCTGGACCCAAGCATTTCAGATAAGGGATGTTCGACCTGGAATAGCCATCCTAATGGGTGTGAAGTCACAGAAGATTCTGAAATCTGGGTTGGACCACAGAGAGAACTTCCTCTTTGGGGAGGAAGGGGCACAATAGATGAGAGTTTGTGAACATTCTTGGGCCCATCCTTATCACAGGCCTAAGAAACCAGAAGCTCATCCAGTCAGCCTAGGAACTTTTCCCTGACCTCTGATCCTGACTCTTTCCTGGCCTCTCCCTGGCAGGTGCCTGACTGCAGCAAACCATGCAATGAGCCATGCCCCGCCCTGGACACCCCCGCCCATCGTCTGGGCCTCCACGTTTGGGACCCTGGGAGCAGCCATCAGAACTATGTCTGGAGACATATGATGAACCACCCCAGCCCTCACCAAGTCGCCGCACCCGTAGACCAGACCCCAAGGACCCTGGTCACCATGGGCCAGAGAGCATTACCTTTATCTCTGGCTCTGCTGAGCCGACTGCTGAGCCCCCTGCCTGCTGCCTACTTTGGCGACCCTGGGTGTGGGACTGGTGCCAGGCTGCTTTCTGCTTCCGCCGCTGCTGGGATTGTCTCCAGCGCTGTGGAGCCTGTGTGCGGGGCTGTAGCCCCTGCTTGTCTGCTGAGGACTCCACTGAGGGAGCTGCTGAAGCCAACTGGGCCAAAGAGCACAATGGAGTGCCCCCTAGTCCTGACCGTGTACCCCCCAGCCGGCGGGATGGCCAGCGTCTCAAGTCAACCATGGGCAGCAGCTTCAGCTACCCTGACGTCAAGCTCAAAGGCATCCCTGTATATCCCTACCGTAACACCACCTCCCCAGCCCCTGATGCGGACTCCTGCTGCAAGGAACCACTGGCTGAACCCCCACCCATGCGGCACAGCCTGCCTAGTACCCTTGCCAGCAGTCCCCGTGGCTCTGAGGAATACTACTCCTTCCATGAGTCGGACCTGGACCTGCCTGAGATGGGCAGTGGCTCTATGTCGAGCCGAGAGATCGATGTGCTCATCTTCAAGAAGCTGACAGAGCTGTTCAGCGTACACCAGATCGATGAGCTAGCCAAGTGCACATCAGACACTGTGTTCCTGGAGAAGACTAGTAAGATCTCAGACCTTATCAGCAGCATCACACAGGACTACCACCTGGATGAGCAGGATGCTGAGGGCCGTCTGGTTCGTGGCATCATTCGCATCAGTACCCGAAAGAGCCGTGCCCGCCCACAGACCTCTGAGGGGCGTTCAACTAGGGCTCCTGCCCCTACTGCTCCTGCCCCTGACAGTGGCCATGAGACCATGGTGGGCTCAGGTCTCAGCCAGGATGGTAGGTGGGGCCCCATGAGACAGAGGGGCAGAATAGGGGAGGCTCCAACCCAGGGAGGGCTGGACTGAGGTCTTTGGCCACTGTGAGTCCACCTCTCAGCCAGTCCCTGCTCTCCCTCCCCCTTTCAACTCTTTTGCATCTCCCCTCCCCAGCTCCCACCTTGGTCCTTCCCAGTGAAGGCTGAAGGGAGCATGCAGACCCTGGGAACTCTTGGCCATTGCTGCTGTCCCTGGAAAGGACAAAGTTCTCTCTCTGTTCAACAAGCTCACCTAATAGACTCTTTTCCCCTGCTACCACTTGCCAAAACAACAAAACCCAGGGACCATATGAATTTGAACCCTGGCCTAATCAAAACTCCCACCGAACCACCATGCACACATTGTCTACATGGTTTTGTGTTAAGCATTTATCTAGCTCTGCCCAGGATGGAATGGCCCCTCCCTCATTGGGCTGGGAAAAGAAATGGGGAATGAGGTTGAAGGATGTGATAATGACCACTGCCTCCCTCATGTTCCCTCCCTAGAACTGACAGTGCAGATCTCCCAGGAGACAACCGCAGATGCCATCGCACGGAAGCTGAGGCCTTATGGAGCCCCAGGTGTGGTCCTGACCTGAGGAATGTGGAGGGTGGGGGACTACCCCAGGGGCCCCTCCCATGCCCTTCTCCCAGATTCCTCCTGGGGTGGGTGAGGAGGGTATCAAAAAGGGATGAGGGGCCCGAGCAGCCACAGACCCCAGGCCTGCAAGCTGGCTTAAAGCAAGGGGCAGGTGCCCAGAAAAGGCAAACTGGAAGTCATCAGACCCCTAATCTTTAACCACAGATCACTGGGGAGGCAAGTGGCCAATGGGAGGCCATCTAGCCTGCTGCTGTCCTCTGGCCTTTCACAGTAATCTCTGAGAGTGGGGTTATTATCCTTTCACAGAGAGGGAGGCCAGAGCTCAGAGGTCAAGAAACTGAGTGGGTCGCCCTACCAGGATCAGACTGACCCAGGCTCAAGTCCTGCTCTGCTCTTTCTCAGGAGGCTTCTTCCTGGCCGTGGGATCTAGATGGGCTCCTTCCCCTGAGCCTGTTTCCTCCTCTCCCTTCCCCCCAGGGTACACAGCCAGCCATGACTCATCCTTCCAGGGCACCGACACAGACTCGTCGGGGGCACCCCTCCTCCAGGTGTACTGCTAACCCTCACTGGGCTCAGCAGCCACAATGCCTTCTGGCAGAAGCACAGCCTGCAGAATGAAGAGCATCAAGAACCCCTTTGAGGAAGGCTGGGTCATGAACCCAGAAGCAGTGTCCACTCTGGCTCCTCCTGCCTTGGCTGACTGGTTCCTGAACCACATGCATTTCACTGGGCCATGGTGTCCACATTCCCTGCATCTCCAGCTGGCCTGTCCCTGCCTGGGCTTGTTTCTTCCTGCCCATGGTCCTTAGGTGGCCTGACCATGGAAAACAAAGACTTAGGGATTATATTCCAGGATTGAATCTTGACTCCATCCCCGCAACATGCCAGCCTAAACAATCATGCAAACTTCACCCTCCCTGAGGGATCCAATAGCTAAAAGAAGCTAGTCTCATGTGTTTGGGGGTGGGCAGGGCCTCTGCAGATTCTACGGGCAGTGCCCACTCTATGTTATGTTCTATTGGGCAGTTTGTTTTGGTTCTTGGTTGATGTCCTGTATGTTAACATGACCATAGTTTGTAAGTACAAAGGTAACAGACATCTGTCTGGTCATCTCAGCTGTGACACTGTCCTTCCTTTCTCTCCCATTTGCCTCACCTAACTGCTGCCCAAAGCAGGAGACTAAGGATATAGGTATTCAGCCTGGCTCAGTGCTGTGGGGTTGAAGTCAGAAGGATAAAACAGGAACAACGCTAATGCTGCCCACGTCTCAAGTTCCGTATAAGTTCTGGAGATAAAGAACCAAGCACAATGCCTGCACTTGAGAAAGGTTTGACAAATAGTTTTTGACATTAAGAGTTTCTTCTAGGGAGGCCTGTCTGGACTGTCTCTGCTCTCCCAGGCCACTGCCTGTAGGCTGCTTATCCATCCTCCAGCTTCCCCAAATCCTTGATCGTTTGTCAGCATCCACTCAGCATCAGGACTGCTATTCCTCTACCCCTTTCTCCATGGTGCTAACAGAGCACTGTGGTTTTGTATTCTTCTTGGCCTTTCCAACAACCTTGGGGCAGAGTCATTATCTTTTCACAGAGAACCTGGAGCACAGTGAGGTAAATGAACTAAGTGGGGCATGCAGTTAATAACTAGCTATGGGGATCCTTGGGGCAGAAGCAGGATCCCTTTGTTTGGACACCAGAGCCCAGTTGGGTTCAGAAGGATTCTACTTAACTGCTCATCACACACAGGCTTGTTTACTAGAGTTTTTTCAGCAAAGGGGCCAGGGCAGGCCCACCAGCCCATTCTTGACTGATGAATAAGCTGGAAGATGTTCAGAATCTGGCCCCCACTTAACATATAGCCCAGGAGCCCTTTTTATTGTTCCCATGGGCACTCTTGCTCCAGCAATAAAACTGTCCCCTTTCCTTAGGCTCTGTCATCCCATCCAGGTCAAAGCCTCTACAAGATTAAAATGACCACAGGGGGCCAGGGGTGGTGGCTCAAGCCTGTAATCCCAGCACTTTGGTAGGCCAAGGCGAGAGGATTACATGAACCTGTGGGTTCGAGACCAGTCTGAGCAACATGGTGAGACCTCTACTCTATAGTAAAAATTTAAAAATTTGCCAGGGGTGGTAGCACATGCCTATAGTTCCAGCTACTTGGAAGGCTGAAGTGGAAGGATTACTGAGGCCCAGCAGGTTGACACTGGGGTGGCCATGAGTGTGCCACTGCACTCCAGCCTGGGTGACAGAGTGAGACTTCAACTCAAAAATAAATGACCACAGGGCAGAGAAGAAAGTCCAGAGGAGAGTGATGCCACAGTCTCTTCACTCTAGCCTTGGCTCTAGAACACCATTTTCCAAACTCAGCCTTGCAAACCAGAAAAAAACTTGTAATACCAGAAAAAAGGGTTTATCAAGTTTGGGAAACAGACAAAGCTAGATACTGCATAGCCTTCCTGAGAACCTTAACAAGCTATTCAGAAATTCTAAAAATGACATGCAGTGTTCCAGAAATTCAGGGATCATCCATTGACACCAAACAAAGCAAGGGCAAGTCAATCTAGACATCCCTGCAATGACCTCTGTGGCTCTTGCTCTTAGTGACCTCTACCCTCTGGCCAAAGTGGAGCAGGGGTCAGCTCCATGGGCTGGGTCTGGGCAGAGGGAAGCATTTCCCTCAGCCCTGGCATTGCCCTAGGAGCTGACTCTGAGAAGCCCTAGAATCTGCAGAGGTCCAAGTCAGAAACAAATAGCGCCCCACTGGACTTTACCCTGTCCTCCTACCAAGTCCCTATACCACACACAGAGCAAGTCTGAGGCCTGGCCCATCCGCGCCCGCCCCCCCCCCCCCGGCTTCCTTCCCTGGGGAGCGCTAGGCAGTATCACCCCAGCCCTTGCTGCTCTGTCCCTAGGATGCAGTAATACCTAGTTTGAAGAACACCTGACTCAGGGCTGGAGGGCAAACCCACTGCAGCAGAAAGTTGTCTTAGAGATGAAAACCCAATCAACAAATCCAGTTAGTTTTATGCTCTGCTGGGTCATGAGCCCCTTTGAGAATCTGACATGTTCTGATCTCTGTAGTCAAAAAAAAACTCACCTTTGCTCAGAATCCTACACAGACTAAAAGCCTTTTAACCCTTCCTTTAAGTAATTGGAAGAAACAGGCCCAGAGAAGGGCAAGGGCTTTCCTAGGTCACATGACAGAACAGAGGCTAGAAGCCAAACCCCCAGTTCCCAACAGCAGCCATAAGAGGCCAGTCCCCAGAGAAAAGCAGGGAGGAGAGGACACAGGTGGAGCTGGGTAAATAGCTTTAATGTGTAACAGTAAGCTGGCTGGGACCCCAAGGCCCCAGCCCTTCTCCTGATGTTCTGGGACCTGTATGCCTGGGCCAGTTCCATGCTTGCCCCAGCCTTGAGACTCCCAAATCCCAGGGAAGGGACAGAAAGAAAGATGGCTGAGGGTTCAGCCCCAAGAGTTCAGGGAGGCAAACACAGGGGCTAGTTGAATTTGGCCTTGGAAAAATCCATCTCCGGATGCTGATCCATGAACCTGAAGGGAAAGTAGGAAGGTAAAACACATCATCCCACTCCCCAAAAGCTATCCTTTCTCTCAGTCTCTCACGTCAAGTCTAATCTCTTTAGACCCTAAACAACCTAGAGCCAGACTGAGCAGAGGTGAGGCCCAAAGGTATTCAAGACCCATATGAGCCCCTAAGGCTAGAAGCAACTTGGCGAAACTTTGACTCTATAATAAATCAAAAACTTAGCCAGGCGTGATGGCACACGCTTGTAGTTCCAGCTACTTGGAAGGCTGAAGCGGAAGGATCACCTGAGCCCAGCAGGCTGACGCTGCGGTGGCTGTGAGTGTGCTACTACACTTCAGCCTAGGCAACAGAGACTCCAACTCAAAGAAAAAAAAGCCATGAACTTGGTGGGCTCATCCTGGAAGGGGGCAAGGCAGCTCCTGAGTTCAGCTCAATGATCCTCTTGCTCTGTCACCAGGGTCTAAGTACCCAGACATTAACCCTCCCCACACCCTCATCTCTGAATTGCTCACTTCTTCAGAATCTCCTGTTTCTTCTGTTCATCCGAGGTAGGCAGCCCCATGGACTTCTGTCTCTGGTCATACATCATCTTTTCCACCATGCTGCGGGTCTCACTGTCCAGGTCAGACAGCTGGGGACAGGTGTGACAGGAATGAGTGAAGCTCTGGAGTCATCTAGGCCCCTCACCTTCCTGCTGAAGCTCCCCCAATTAGCCAGGGCTCACCTTGGAGTTCTCAGGGTTAATCTTCTTGGTATTGATCTCAGGGTCACTGGACACCAAGCGGCTCCACCACTCCATCTTATTGATCTGTGAAGAAGAGGAGAACAACCAAGGGACATGAGATGGCTCACTCTGTATCCCAAAAATCAACCCTCAACTCTTCCACAACCAAACCTTCTCCCATTCACATCCTGCATCAGAGACACAAGCAGGCCTGTGCTGGGACCAGGGGTACAAATGACCAAGATTCTGTCCTTCCAGTGGCTGGGGAAGACATAAAGGCAAACAGTTACAAATCAGAGTGATATGGGAAATAATAAAGCAGAAAGGGGGCTATCCAGCCAGGGTGGAGGAAAAGAAGTTACAAGTGATACTTGGTTGAGCCTTAAGACACAAGCTATATACGAGATTTAAAATGGGAAGGAAAAAAGGCAGGGAAGGACATTCCAGTTGAGAGGACAAGACAAGTATAAAGGCATGGAAGGGTGAGTGAGAGGCAGCCAATGCCAGTCAGGTAAGCTGGAACAGGGCCTTATGTGCCATGGGACTCTCTCCTTGGACCCTTGGCCTTTTGTGGAGACCATCTTTATTTACTGGTGTCTGTGTCCCATCTCTCTGTGAAGGCACTGAGGTAGAGAACATAGGCTTGCTAAGGGCACAGATTTTTCTATGTTTTGTTCACTGTTCTCTCTCTAGCATTTATAACAGTACCTGGCACACAATAGGTGTTCAAATATTTGATGAACTGAATGCATGTGCAAACCTAAAGGGAAAGAAGAGTCTTTGAAACAAAAGACTCCACCCCTTCCTATAGGTAGGAGGTTAGGCAAATTGCTGAGCTCTTTTCCTAACTCTGAAATGGTGACAGGTCTACTTTAAAGAGTCTTGTAGGACTTAAAGAAGATAATTCCACAAGGCTCCCAGCATAGCCCCTGAATGAATAAGTATACCCCCTCCTCTTTTATTCCATCAACACCCAGGCTAGGAAGGCCAGGCCTCATGTACCTTCTCCAGATGCACAGTCACCACCTTGCCGTCCTCGATGAGCCACGAGCTCTCCTCCACCTTCACTTCATTGTAGAGCTCCCCATCAATGATTGGCGGTTGCCCCTTGAGTCCCACCCGGAGGTGCCGCCGCTGGATGTCCACAACCACGTCCTTCCCCTTCAGCCGAAAGTTCACACGGAAGGACACTGCCAGCTATATGGGACAGAAGAAGTCAGGAGGGGCCACTAGGGTCTACCAGGACTCTGGGCTGGCTCCCTAACCTTCATCCCGGCTCCTGCCACTCACATCCAGCTCCGATAGGGTTTGGGTCCAGCGGTAATTGGGCAGGTCTGCCCCGTTGCCTAAGTTGGGCTTCAGTTTTCCTTTGTCCTTCTCGTCTTCCTCCTCCTCATCTTCCTCAGTCTCCTGCTCGTAGTCAAGGGTGCTCAGCTACTTACTTGACACAGACTTAACTCTCACTAGGCTAGGCCCAGGGCTGGCACTGGGCACGTAGCCACAAAACAAAATATAGACCTGGTCCCTGCCCACTCTATGGAGGAAGGGGCAGAACCCAAGTCTTGGTCCACTGGAAACCAGAGATAAAACCTGTTTCTGATTATACCAGAAGCTCAGACTGTTATACCACATGACAAATATCATGAACCACAGACAATGATCAACCTCAGATTGAACCTGTAACAGGCACTGCCTTTTCTTGTTCTTGGGTTTTCCTACCCAAGGCTTAGGAGCAGCGGATTTGGGGGTTTTTTAAGCCTAGATCCCTTGGTCCAATGTCTCCGAGTGGGATCTTAAAATATAGGGAAGATCCCCAAAGCCAGAAAGGGCAGGGGTGGGATAGGAGAGGGTATTTCCAGAGAAAGGGAAGGGCTAGAGAACCCCCAGATGTCCCTAAACCCCTGGCCAGTCCCAGGTACCTCAGCCCATCTTACCTGCTTCCCTGGTGAGCCAAGGCTGCCATTCTTGAGCTGGGCCTCATGATTCTCTGCATCCTTTTTCTGTTGCAAAGGGCACAGCATTTAGCAATAGAATCCCTACACTAAGTACCAGTGGGATCTGAGAGTTGGAAGACAGACGCCTACCCTCACCTGGTCAATCTCCAACTGCAGCCTCTCTGCCTCCTCATCAGTCAGTTCCTTGATCTGGGGCCCTGGGCTATCTGACTTGGTTTCTTTGGCCAACCTGGCTGCACGCTCCGCCTTCTCCCGCCGCTCGGCCTCCTGCCGAGCTCTCTTCTCCCGCCGGGACTTTTGTGCCAGCTGATTATGGTGACTGAAGGTCTGTGTGATAAGCTGGAGAAGGAATAAAAGGTGATGAGGCATGAGAGCAGGGGACAGTGTCTCAAGGCCTGGAGTCTAGCCCATCTCTACCTGCTGGGTGCCTGGGCAAAGCACTGTACTCAGAATGTCAGTTCCTCGTCTGCAAAATGGGGAAAATTTACCTATCTTAGAGAGTTGTAATGAGAATACCTGCAAAGTATTTGGCTCAATAAACTGGCTGTTACAAGTAGAATTCAACCTCAGCCCCTCTCAGAAGTCTTTCCTGAGTTCTCAGGTCCATATTGACCTGTTCCTCTGACTGACCATTCTTACTCTTAGTGTATCCTATCTCCAGAACAACAGTCCCAGCCATGCAGCACTTGACATCACACCCAGAAAGGCCACATTAGCAGGAAACCAGCAGCTTTCTTGGTGAAAGAGGCTATTCCCCCTCTCTTCAGCCAGCAAGGTATCAATTCCAAATTCTTTCTTTCCCACTACACCTTCCCAGGGATATTTCTACTCCACATTGTGCTAGCTGGCCTCCCTGCTACCCAAAGGCTACCCCAATGCTATTGTCCCTTGTCACTATTTGGCTTCATGGCCTTAGACAAGTGAACAACTTTGACTCTCTCTCTTTTTTTTTTTTTTGAGTCAGAATCTCACTGTCACAGCTACTGCAACCTCAGCCTGCTAGGCTCAGGCGATCCTTCTACCTCAGCGCTCCAAGCAGCTGGAACTACAGGCACGTACCACCATGCCTGGCTAATTTTTTAATTTATTGTGGAGACAAGGTCTTGCCAAGTTGCCCAGACTGGTCCTGAATCCCCTGGGCTCAGACAATTCTCTCACCTCTGCCTTCCAAAGTGCTGGGATTATAGGCATGAGCCACTATCCTGGATCAACTTTGACTCTTTCTAAACCTCAGTTTCCTTATCTGTCACAAGGACTGAATATGACAGCACACCTCAAGAACCTGGCACAGTCCACATCATAGCCACATATAAAGTGTTGGTTTCCCAACACCCTTTGACTGACTGGCACAGTGCATGTAAAGATGGAGTGAGAGAGATGGTACCGCCTCAGTGGTTGGACCAGTAGCTTCCAAAGTGTGGCTCCTCTGACCTACAGCATCAGCATCACCTGGAACTTGTTAGAAATACTGATTCTGAGTCTGGCTCGGTGGCTCAATCTGTAATTCCAGCACTTTGGGAGGCCGAGGCGAGTGGATTGCCTGAGCCCACGGGTTTGAGACCCACCTGGGCAAATTGGCAAGACCTCGTGTCTACAATAAATCAAGAACTAGCCGGGCATGGTGGCGCGCACCTGTAGTTCCGGCTACTTGGAAGGCTGAGGCGGAAGGATCACCAGAAGGATCGCCGAAGCCCAGCAGGTCGAGGCTGCAGTGGACGAGAGCGTGCCACTGCACTCCAGTCTGAGCGACAGAGTGAGACTCCAACTCAAAAAAAAAAAAAAAGAAATACTCATTCTGAGCTAGGCATGGTGGCTCACACCTGTAATCCTAACACTAGGAGACAAGACAGGAGGATTGCTTGAGGTCATAATTCAAGACCAACCTGGGCAACATAGGAAGACACCATCTCTATTAAAAAAAAAAAAAAAAAAAAAAAATGCTAAATCTTAAGTTCCACTCCAGACCTACTAAATTAGAAATTCTGGAGGGTGAACCGGCAATTTGTATTTTTAACAAGTCTTCCTGGTCAATTCTCATGCATATTTGAAAGTCACACCTAGATTTGAGTTCCTGGTCTATTCCTTCTAATCCTGAGGTCATCTGCCTGCCTCTATTTTACTATTTCTAAAAGCTGCCTTGGCACATGCTGTTCTTCGCCTAGAATGCCCTGTCTTTACTCCCAGGTCACCTGACAAACTCCTACTCATCCTCTAGGACCAGCTCAAGTGTCTAGTTTCTTCTGGTACCTTGGTAGGCCCAGGAGCCTTAGGAAAACCAACTCTATGCCAACCTGCACACAGTGTGCATGCATGCACATTCACAGACACTAGCCGTATGCTCAGTGATCAATAAACCATCTTCTTTCCTTCCTCCCTCCTTCCCTCTCTCCCTTCCTCCTTCCCTCCTTTCTTCCTTCGTCAGAGACCTACTCTATCACCCAAGCTGGAGTGCAGTGGCATGCTCATGGCCACCCCAGCATTGACCCACTGGACTTACGCGATCCTTCTGCCTCAGCCTTACAAGTAGCCAGAACTACACACGTGCGCCACCACACCCAGTTAATTTTTTGATATATTGTAGAGACGTCTCACCAAGTTGCCCAGGCTGGTCTCGAACCCATGGGCTCAGGCAATCCTCTCGCCTCAGCCTAAACCATCTTTCAAGCATCTCTAAGCCAAAGCTGGAGGGAGAGTCTGCAAGGGCTCAGGGTCACAGAAGTCACCCATGGGCTCTCAAACCTAGGATTCTGCCAAATACCCTGTGGATTCTCATTTATCTGATGCCAATTCCTCCTACTACCTCCAATCCCCCAGCCCCACGATATACTACAGAACCTCCACACTCTGCAAGGTTAATAGGCACCAAAAGTACCCCCCAAACCACATGAGTTAATAAACTGGGGTGGGGAGGGATATGTGTGAGAGAAACAAGCCACCTGACAGCCATTCTGCTGTCAGTGGAAACAGTATGTCATGAGACAATTACACCAGTGAAGGCTGTTCCACTATGGGGCCCTGGTCCCAAGTCCCTAATCAGAGACCTTGAACTGAAGCCATTTGCCAACCAGTGGCCAAAGGGAGGTAGAAGCAGGGCCCTCCCCTCTCCCAGTTCCAGTGACTCATGTTACATCCCATTTGTCCTGTTCCTTCCTAGCTCTTGGAGGTTATGTGAGGGCAGAGTTAAACTACCAGGCAGTCAAGGCCAATCAAAGCAGCCTCTGACCCCTCCTCCCAGTCTCCTCCCACCAGATTTACCCAGGCCCAGCCTAAGACAGACAGCCCTGGGGGTGTGGTAGCCTACCCAGAGGTGCCAAACCTGAGGCTGTCATGGAATCCAGTTTCTGTCACTGAACACATCCTCCGAAACCACAGACCACCAGGATAGAAAAGTAAAGAGGGGGGGCTGGGCCTGCTCTAAGCCAAGCTTGTTGTTCTCCCCCAGAAGAGGCCTACAGGGTAGGCTCCCAAAACTGCTCAGTGGGCATACATGAGCTCAGGCATTCCCTGGCCTAGGCTGGGTGATGAGAAAGTAGAGTGGTTCCCACAGATCTGGTGAAAGCGGACTGTCAGAGTATTTAAGCTGAACCTGATGGTGTGAGGTCCTGAACCTGGCACCTGGAGGGGCTTTAGGCGGGAGGGGTATTCCACCACTCCATCTGAGGGATATAATACATTTCAGACAGTAAACAGTGGCTAATTTTAGCAAGGATTCTCAACTATGGGGTCCTATGGAATTCCTCCCTACTTGATAAATTCTCCTACTCCCTGTCCTTTACCTGCTACCCACAGAATAGAAACGAGGCTGGAGCAGTGCAGTCAACCCCAAATCCTTTCACCACTTCTGAGCTGCCCTGACACACGGTCTCTGGGGAAATAAAAACTGAAAGATTGCAGCTGTGGGATGCCTAGATGAGAAGGGAATGGGAGGCAAAGAGCAGGCAGTCCCTCATCTAGGGCACAGATCCAAAAGGTCCCCAATACTGCAACTACTGGAACATCACTGGGGACCACTTTTGTGTTCTCCAGAGCTGAGGGTCTTCCCACCCTTGCCATAAGCCAGTGCCCTCGGTAACCTTCTCCTCGTCCTGTGGTTCCCAGCTTGAAGAGTGGTATCACTGGCCATCCAAGTGTCCAAGGAGAAAGCAGAGTCATCTGTGAACATCCACCATGTACCAATCCTACAAGACATACCACTCTGCTGTCCTTACTGCCTCAGGCCAAGTCTGTCACTTTCTGAGTCTGGGCCTCCCGCAAAAAACATCAGCAGCCCCCACACAAAAAGAGGCCACAACTCCCCACAGCCTGCAATGCAGAGGCCATACCCCTCAGCTTCTCTCTGCACGGGTCCTTCTAACTGGACTGCTTCTTGCTAAACTTGGTCTCCTGGGAGTTCCTCTTCAGCCCTCAAGATCAGACACAATTTGTACAGGTCTGCCATACCCTCTACCATGTGGATTTGGCTTTTCCTCTATTCCTACCACATGATTCCCTACTCCTGGGCCTTATTCATGCTATTTCCTTCACCTACGAATACCCTTCTGTCTATCTTCAGCCATCCAAATCCTATTTCCTAGTTCAAGGTCACTCAGATGCTGCATCCTCCCAAAGCCTTTCTGAATTCTCAACAAATAAGTGCCCTCTCTCCTTCTCATGAACTCCATAGAATTTTTCTTCTTTTTTTTTTTACTTTTATTTTTTTTGCATTGGAGTCTCACTCTATTGCCCAGGCTGGAGTGCAGTGGCATGCTCACAGCCACCCCAGGGTTGACCCGCTAGGCTCAGGTGATGCTTCCGCCTCAGCCTTCCAAGTAGCTGGAGCTACAAGCGCATGCTACCATGTTTGGATAATTTTTTTATTTTTATTGTAGAGATGAGGTCTCGCCAAGTTGCTCAGGCTGGTCTCAAGCCCATGGGCTCAGGCAGTCCTCTCACCTCAGCCTCCCAAAGTGCTGGGATTACAGGCTTGAGTCACCCAGTCTGGTCTTTCTTCTTTTTTCAAGAGTCATGATCTTGATATGCTGCTGAGGCAGAAGTACAGTAGTTGTTCACAGGTGTGATCCCACTACTGATCAGCACTAGAGTTTTGACCTGCTCCATTTCTGATCTGGGCCAGTTCACCCTTCCTTAGGCAACCTGGTGATCCCCAACTTTTGGGGGTCACCATGTTGATACTAAAATTTAGTGCAGACATCCAATTGGCATAGTGCACCACAGTCGAGAACTCATGGATTCAAGTAACCCCCCTGCCTCAGCCTCCCAAGTAGCTAAACATTTTTTTGAAGACAGAAGAGTTTTATGAAATAGTTCTTACTAAAATGCTAACCCACCAGGAAATTATA